TGTGAAACATAGCTACGTTCAAATGAATAATTTGAAGAGTTAAATGCAAAAGTAATTTGTTTATACCAATCATTTACATATCTACATAACTAAAATCGTCAAATTGCAAGACCAAGTCCGATTTTGGCAAACACTGGTGCAGATCCTTTTACAAGTCTCAGGAATGATGGATTTTAATGAATTTAGTATCGAAAGAATTCCAAGAATCGAAGGGAATCCATGAAAAATTGAAAAATCTCCATTAAAAAAAAATGACTACACCTACAATAAAAATCAGGGAAAAAAATGGAAGTGTCAAACAGGGATAAATTGTGTAATAAAGATTTTGGCGAGGATAACAAGTACCTATTTACAACTAAGTTTAAAGCCATAAAATGTACCGTTTTTTTTTTAGATAAACCGTAATTATGACCGAAAGTCACCTAGCTGCTATGGTAGCCATGGAATGCTTGTAACTTTTTAAAAATATTTCTATATGTCAGCCTTTCAGTTGACAGAATGACTAACTCGAAATTTCAACATTTTTTATTATTAATTTTAGTGATATTTCTAGTAGGAAAATGTATGCCTTTATTCACTGTTCTATATTTCAACACTGCAATCACTTATTCTGGTATCAAATTGCATGCTGCCTGTAAGGATATTATAAATCCAACTAGAAATATCAATAAAATGACTTCAGTCAAAAATTATGAAATTTTTAATTAGTCATCCAATCAACTGAAAGGCTCATAATTGAGTCTTCAACGAACTAAACAGCAATTGAAAAATTAAATGAAGAAATCTACAAGATTTCGGATATTGTAGAATATGTTTGATATTATTAATAAATATAAAAATATTTATCTATACTGTTGATCAGTGAAAGAACAACAACCGTTTATATGTATAATTTATTAAGAAGATGGATAGCTACCTAATGTGAGTGTTTTCAATCATTTTTTTCTTTATTTATTGCTTAGAAGAGGAATAAAAACTACTCTTTTTTTAATTATTTCTTAATGATATTTACAACTGTATTAAAGTAATACATCTAGTAAATTTGAAAATATGGATATAATGACGTGAAAACACTTGTTGAGGAACTACCCAATGGTAGCACTCTAATGATATGTCTACATTAGGAGACCACGGGGCCATCTTCTTTTCAGACGCCTCGGAGGGTTATCAGGAATCGAAGGGGAAGCAAGGTTAGAAACGAGAGGGTTTAGATGGTTCTGAAGTTTCTTATGGAAGGAGAGGTTTGGGATTGGGTCAAATCTGAAACATAAGGAACATTAAGGTCGTTATGGATGATTTTATTTTTGACAAAGTAAAGAGCATTGAGGATTTTACGAAGGATTTTGGATTTTAAGGATTGGATACGAGAGGAATTCGATGATTTATCTCAACTCCGTAAGTCCAAATAGCCTTTATTATAGTCATGTATATGAGTCTTTTGTAATTAATTTAAAGTTTAGATCGTTTGTCTAGTAAGTGCTAAAGTAATCGGAAACGTCGTGCTGTTTCTTGTTGTTTCTAACTAACTATTTAACTATCTAACTATTTAATTTTTTTTTTGTGTGTTTTCAGTTGGCTCTTCGCAAACATACCATTTTCTTCTGCGCATAAATGTTTCTTTCGAAATAATCCATTAGGAAGCAACTAGAGAACAAAGAATACAACAATAGTTGGCAAGAGATCACGTAGATCATCTATAGAATCAACAAAGATGCTGCAGTGGTGGATGAAGCAACCAGGAAAGCAGCGGCCCAAGATAGGCAGGGATGGATAAGGCTGCTCAAGGCAGCCAATGGTCTACAAGTCTAGTGAAGTCGAAAGAAAAAATTTTTTTGACGATTCCAAGTTAGACGTTTGTCCAAGATAACGGATTTGTTCAACAAGAATAAGTGAGGTGTTGTTAAAGGATACTGAAGGATAGAACTGACCAATTAAGTCAGAAAAAGTTACTCAGATTCTCCACTCAACACATGAGTGCATGTGGTAAAACGCTCTCGCTCGAACTCCACCGGCTTTAGCACCGGTGAGGCGGTTGACAGAGTAGCGCAGGGATTTGGGTTCCCCGCCTGATTGTATATATTGTATATAGGTATGACTGTGTTTTTTGTGTTTTTAATTTACTTATATTTAAGTTATTTTATTTTTTTTTATTGTACATAGTTCTTTTTTATTATTATTTAGTTATTATTTTACTTTTGTTAATTTTGTATTTTCTGTATATATGGTGTGGATGTATTCATTTATCACTATAATTATTGTCTACGAGACAGAACATTATATATCTAAATAAATAAATTAAATAATAAAAATAAATAAATATATTAGGCGAAAGAAACTGTTTTTGCTAACAAAAAAAAGAAAAAAATCTTAATTTAATAAAAAAAGACGTTGTCTTCCTGTATAATTCTTTATTTTTCTCTTTTATCAGACCTTCATCAGGCTAACTTATGGAGGTTCTCCTCTCCTGTTTGTCAAATTAGGACTTTATTGGAGGACTCATTTGACAAGCAGGAGGGGAGGAAACCGGTTGCGCAAAGGGAGGAAAATAAAGAATCGTACAGAAAGACGTATTTTTTTATTAAATTAAATTTCAATCCTTTGACATCAAGCCTCAATTAAAAAAAAAAAAATTGTAGACTTCCATGAAATTCAAGAACTTTTCTTTTTTTTAAATTCCACCTGACTCATTATCAACTATTGTTTCAGTTTAGGTTGAAACTCAACGAAGAACTAAACTGACATAAAATACCTCCGTTATCCAGTTTATGGAAATCCTATGAAACGTTCAGGGAAAAAAAATAAAGTTGATGCAATTACCATTGTTAAATATAATTGTTATGAAATGTAACGGTTTTAATTTTTTTTTCATCATTACTTTCATATATCAGTTACATTTTAATTTTATGACTGTCGTCATGTTGAAAGAGCATTCCAATGTTTTCCCAACAGTTGTGAAACGTTCTGGTGACATTTCTTACCAATCAGGGGAGTTAAAGTTATCCCATTAGAGTTTCTTTTTGTAACGTTTTCTTCTCTATGTATGAATACTTTCTAGACATAGTTACAAAAAGTAGTGAAAGTGGAACAGTCTTGAAATAATGTCTTATTATTTTTAAGTATACTTGATCGATTATTGCAAACGTTATTTTTAAATAGCTATTCAGCTTTTTTTTAATGGTGCTGTGTTAACGTTATTTTAGAACCTTTTGTATATTTTAAAAATTTTCGGTGAACTTCAAAGTTCGTGATCATTCATCTAGAAATAATATAATAACACTAAAAAATTATTGTTTGAGAGCTATATTTTTCCTAAATCTTTGACTTTCCAAATTCTGGGAAAAATAATCAGGAAGAAACGGAGCAGAAATTTGGTATTTCGTGGCTGCAAGAACTCCCAAGTCAAGAGAAAGCAAAGAGATTGAAGGTAATTGTGACGTGACATTTGACAGAGCGTAACCCTCTAGGTGTATTGCTGATATTATGTTGTTGTTTTTTTTAGTGTTGTTGTTTTTATTCATAAAATGGTTCCTGTTTGTAAGATGCGGCTGAATCGTGAGAAAATTGTGACGAATCATGCTTCTGTGAAAAGCGGGAATAACTGCATTAGGTTAATTTTGACAAGATGTCAAACTTCTTCCTTATATATTACAGATGGAGATTCCTTACAGATTCCTTAAATACAGGATGTTCCAATTTTTTTTTATAATTTTATTATGATATTTACAACTGTATTAGTATGGATACATCAAGTAAATGTGTACAGAGGAATATAATCACATGAAACACGCTTGTTGAGAAACTACCCATTGGTAGCACTCTAATAATTTGTCTACATGAGGAGATCACGAGACCATCCTCTTTTCAGACGCCTCGGAGGGTTATCAGGAATCGAAGAGGAAGCAAGGTTAGGCTAGAAACAAGAGGATTCGGATGGTTATGAAGTTTATTATGGAATTATAGGTATCTGGATTTGGCCAAATCGGAAACATATGGAACATTGAGGTCTTTATGGATTATTTTATTTGTGACAAAGTAAGGAGCATTGAGGATTTTATGAAGGATTTTGGATTGTAAGGACTGGATACGAGAGGAATTTTAGTGGAGCCCCAAAGCTCGATTCCGTAAGTCCAAATAGGTCTTATTATTGTTGTATATATGAGTCGTTTGTAATTGATTGAAAGCTTAGAGCGTTTGTCTAGTAAGTGCTGTAGCAGTCGAAAACGTCGGGCGGTTTCTAGTCGTTTCAGTCTGGTATGGGGGTCTGGTAAAAATAAATCGACTTTTTGAATAAAAATTTAGGCAAAATAGTTACTAATACTTGACAATTTTAATTACTATATGTAAAGAATTGGTGTAACCAGTGTACTTTTGCACTTAATTCTTCTAATTTTTCATTCAGACTTAGGTTTCTCATATCTAAAAAAAAATTCAGTAATATCTATCTAGTAATAAACTAATAGGCAACTGCAAGACTTACGAGAGTCTTGCGCAAGACCAAGACCATGACTGAGTTTTGGATTGTAAAGATTGGATACGAGAGGAATTTGATGATTTAGTGGAGCCCCATAGCGTCCCAAAATTAAAGCAAAATTTAAATTAAATCCTATAACACAGTTCTTTCTTCTTTTGTTTCCTCTTTCTTTGTCAATTTAACAGCTGATAGTTTAGGATTAATAAATGGAGCGTTATACCAGCGAACAATGTGTTTTCATTGTTAAAAAACATAGCAATGTTTTTTCTACATCTTCTTGGTTTATCATATGTTCAACCACCTGCCATCTATCTTGCGAAGCTTCTCTTACGCCCATATAATGTTTGTATGAGATGATTCTTCATAATCGTCCAGTAAATCAAGTCAGATATCTATCTCAACATAACCTGCTATCATAATGGCACTACAGAACAAGGAAAATCTTCCTTGTACCTTCCAGATAATTAGAGATCCTCCCATAAATTCTTGTTGACGGCTACAGGAAAGCAGTGGGCCTGCCCTCTTGGATATGTGGCTTTCTATGTACGTCCCACGAGCGGTGATTCAGGACTTGATATTCTCGGAATATCCAACCGGTTATCTAGTTTCCTCTTTCACCCGGTTTTCCCGATGGATCGCGGTGACCGGGATGATGAGGAATGTGGCGTCAGGTAAAGGTCAGGAATCTCAATTAATATGTTAATGCAAACGATCAAGATATGGATGGCGAAATCAAGAAGGCAGTGGTACTATTAAATATGAGGAGCTTTTTTTTTTTTAGTGTTCTAAGTAATGAATGAGCACTTGATCAAGAATTGAAAACTGATATCTTATTCCTTCTAGTTCTGTTTAGGCAACTTTCTATTTTAATGAAAGTAAAGACCAGTAACTCTAATGAGTTTAACTCAGGTATCATTCGACATTAATTTGGCAGTGGACTGTATTTTTTTTTTATTTTTTAGCAAACAAAGTTTGAACACTGAATTATGAAATCCATAAATTATATACGTTTACCTCAGGGATAGAATTTCCCTTAGGTCTTTTCCTTTTTCATTCTGTTCATTTTCAAGCTATCAATAATCTATGACATTTCTAAAATATTTCCATATTATATAATTCCATTACTATTTATGCGCGGAACATTGTGATTTTTATATTATTGGAATAAAAATTAATGTAAAAAACACAATGATCGTCGCATTTAATAAAATACATGTCAATTCGAAAATTCGTCAGTCCCTCCTCCGTCTATAGTCTAAAATACGAGGGTAATTCAACCTTAGAAGCCACCTTATATAAGTACATTAAGTTGCCCTTGAAAAACATAGTGCTGAAAAGTAACTAAATAATTCAGTAGAAAATATCTATTTTATTATTTATTTCCTGCTAAAAGCACCTGAAAATCTCTTTTTAAGTGAAAACCTCTGTAGGCCCGTTTTACTTTTTTTTTTGTGGAAATCGAATGAGATTGAGCCGTCAAGGTCGGATATGTGATGCTTATTAGAGTAAAATCGGCTCGAGTCGACTAATTGAAGTATTTTTGTACATGGATTAAAATATCACAGAAACTAAAAATCGAACTTGCACACTGTAAGCTAGGGAAATGTTCAGCATTCCATTCTCTGTAATGAGCTATTATTAAACTTTGCATCTTAACGCAATAACTTGCTAGAGAAGCGAAAAGGAAAACAATAGTGTCGAAAACTAAACCATAAAGAGTTTTGAGAATGAGTATGTCGGAGGATGCGGTCAAATAAATACTAAATTGTTAAAATGAAATTTTATTCGCAGACGTTTCGACCCACTTTGTAGGTCTTCGTCAGGACGTGGTATCAGCAACTGTTATGAGTTTTGTTGAATATATGGTTTAAAATATAGAAAAAAAAATATTAAAATAAATATCTGTACCACAACAACCCATGAAGGGTCTTGGGTTCAGTAATATTTAGGGAAAGCATTGTTTCTAGGCCAACGGTTGTGCACGGAGGTGATTTGACCGAGATCACGCTGAACCGCCAGGTTTTCCCCTTTATTTAATTAAGGGTACCCACTTTAGAGAGTCTGGGTGTGCCCAATGAGGGTCGCCCCTAAGTCAACGAAACACATTAATAAATTTTCTGCTATGAGCCGGGGTTCGGACCTGGGACCTTAGCATCGGAAGCTCAGTACCCTACCACTAAAATATAAAATAAACCCTACCTCACTCATGGATTAAAATATATCAGACTAAAAATCGGATCTAAATAGTGTAAACAAGGGAAATGTTCAGCATTTCATTCTCTTTCTAATGAGCTCTAAATTATAAATGTGAATATATAATAAATTTGAAAAAATACATAATATATATATATATATATATATATATATATATATATATATATATATATATATATATATATATATATATATATATGTATATATATATATATACATGTGTCATATTATTAAAACGAGGCGAGCCTTGTTGATGTTTTTACTTCTATCGTCTAAAGTCTAAAGCACACAAAATTTACACATGATTTTCACAATTTCTATCGTCTTCTGTTTAAATTTAAGAATTGTTTAAAGTGTCATATTAGATATTTTTCATTTGTACATATTATTAATATATAGTAAATAATAAACTATACGTTAAGTAATATAAGCGCTAAGTCCGTTTGAACCAGCAGGGTAGATCCATATTCGATGCTGAACATATCCTGAACATGCCCGAGGTCAATGTCAGGCCCCAAATTGCTTCCTAGTTCTTGGTCAGGGTCCCCGTCCGAGGTTAGGGCCTTGCTCCAGCCACCATACTATGTCATTACCGATACGGGATTAAGGTGATATCATACTGCACTCTGTATTAATAACTTGCTATAAAGTATTATTTTCTCAGGAATCTGTTTAATATCATTAATGTCCCGTTGAAGTATCAGACGATGAACAGCGGGCCAAATCGCCAAGTTAATACTCAATTAATATGCTCTGAAAAACTTGTATAAGGATTCCTTATAAAACCCGTAAGTAATGTGGTTATATACGGGATCTTCAAAGAATGATTTGCTCTTATAATATTTCCATTTATTCAGTTCATTCCAACATTGCGAGCCCATTGGCTCATTTTCGAGCTATCAAAATTTTAACTGTGGGTCAATGGTTGACTGTCGTGAATAACGAAGAGAGGAATAGTTGGAGTGATCAGTCAAATAAGAAGACAAAAATAAATGATAATATTTATTTTGACATTTTCCGACGTTTCGACCTGAAGTTCAGGACATCACCAGGGCCAAGAAAAGAACCAGATAACAAGGGATGAGAAACATAATTAGTGTAGGTAAAAAAATAAAAAAATAAAAGTAAAATGCAGTTGTTAGAATAATGACAATAGTAAGAACTAAGAGATAAATGATAATAACTTGTACAAAGTGTGGAATGATGAAGTAAACATAATCAAAAAAGGTGACATAAGTATTAAAATGGGAATCTTAGAATACAATGTAAAACAGAAAAATATGAAGTTATACAAGAAATGGAAATAAATAATAAAATTAAGATATTGCGAATAGAATAGTTAGATAGAAAATTGAGATGTTGTAAAGTCTATCAAGATGTACAGACACCGTATAATATAATAAAGAGTTAAAACAGAGAAAAGAAATGAAAGGAAGGAGGAAAGAAACTGAGAAGGTTGAAATAAGAAAGATAATAAGAAAGAAAAAGAAACCTGACTGCAAAGATCAGATCTAGGATGACTGCAAATATATCAAAATTTTATGACGATGTTAACAAATTTCCACATTATACAACAGTATTAATGTTTATTTTTAGTCCAATAATATTTTTGGTTTTATTATTTGCAATAATGAACCATTGTGATCGGACAAAAACTTAAAACCCCTCTCAAAATTTCAGGTTTTAAGTTTCAGAATACGTAGAATTCGAAAAACGAATTACAATTTTTTTTGTCCGTCCGCCATCCGCGCGCATTTTCTCCGAAACTACTGGACCAATGTTTTTCTTCTCAAATTTGGATTTAAAATTAGAGGCCACCCGAGGATGATCCTCCTTGATCGACATTTCTTTCCGCCTTTTCCTTTCAAGATGGCGACTGAAAAATATGCGTTGCTATAGACTGTAGTGCCTAAACGAATGTACCGATTTCAAGGAAACTTTGCACAAGTCTTCTTCTCGATGCCCTTTAAATATATCGATATAACATACTTCAAAATGGTGGTAAAATTAGATTCCGAATAACTCAAAAAGTATACACTTCTTTGTTGATATTGTATGGCTATTTAAAAGTTTATGGGATTTACTAAAAAACAAAAACAGAAATCGTTAAAATTGGACAATTAGGAGCAAAGATTTGGTCTATAGATGTTTTTTTATATGTTATACTGCAAAGGTTATATCCTTTTTTTTGGTTTTTGATTTTTGAATGTGTTAATGAAGTAACGCTACTTTTTTTAGCATATTACTAATAATTAAAAATAATGTTTAGTCCAATAATTAGAATCACTTTTACTTTCTTTTTCTTTGTTACTAGGAAAGTAATGTTGCTTTCGCCGTATAATTGTTTGGAAATAAAAACCATTGCGAAATAATTTGCAGCGCTTTTTCCTTCATATTTTCATCCAAATCTGTCATATCTAGATAATAAGCTGATGCGATGTCAGTCCTTCCTGGGTTTGGTAATACTTCCCTAATTTAGGAAACCTGGTCTCACATCCAGCTCCTCTTCAGTCGTCTCCTGATGGCCATGTCAGCTGTGGCCACGTCGTTGATAAGTACGTATGTGTTGGTCGATAGTTGGTTGTCGTAAGTTTCTATGTAAAGTTATGTTGTTTACGCATCAGTGAGCTGCTGTTATTAATCTTAAACTTTTAAATTTGTGAGGTGTATGTCCATATGGGTTTGAGTAGGTAAGTGTATGTATTTAGTTTTTGTCTGATTTTCTATTTTGATTTGGATAAATGTAAGTATAGTATTTCCAAGTCAAAGTCTATTGTTCAATGGCTGTCGAATATTAGTCTGAGGTGTCTCGTCGAAGTGTAAATGCTATATGTTGTGATTTGTTATGGTCCGATAATATAAAAAAAACAGCATTGTTCCTCACATTTAATCAAATGCATATCAATTCGTAAAACCCCGATATCAAATAGTTCCTCTTTCTTTTATTGTTTAAGATTAGACTTATTTTCCAATAATTTAATGTTATGTTGATCATCAAACAATCGAAACAAAAAGAATGATATTATGTTCATACCATTTATTTTTTTTTTGTTAGCTCATCTTGTTGCAGACAAAATGATTGTGAGAAATCCTTGTGTTCTTGCCCCTCTGGGAGAGAGCAAAAGATTACCACGATCGAGAGGTGCGAAAAAAGAACCCTGAGAACTATTTCGTAAGGGAGAAGTGAAAGACGAAGATGGTCTGAAAAAAACGCTGTTTCGAAATGGCCATCGAAGAAGTTCAGGTTACGTTGGATGATGACTGAGTAAGTGTTGTACAATATGAGTTGGAGTAACAGGTAATAGTTTTAGTAGCGTTTGGGATCCTTTTGAGTTCTTCTAACAACAAATAAATAAATATAATTTGTATACAATTATAAAATGTTGTTTCTAATGAATTTTTGAATAATTGGAAAACTAACTATAAATATATCACTCCACAAAAACATTAATTTTACGGATACCATCAACGGTACTGTATTATCAAAATTTAGGTATATCAATAATTTATATCAGGGCCTATAAAGCCATCAAACTGAAGGCATTTGTTGTGAAGACAGTTTTTTAGTGATTGGTGCTTTTATAATGTCCGTTCTTTTATAATGTCCGTTCTTTTATAATGTCCGTTAGCATTTGGAGGTATGTATAGTATACACATATAATATGTACAGGATGTAAATATGTTCCATAAGTAGAGGTAAATATAAAAACGTTGATATTAGACATTTTTTTTTTTTAACTTTTATTGAGTATTAATACAGTCTGCCAAGTATATATATATATATATATATATATATATATATATATATATATATATATATATATATATATATATATATATATATATATATATATGTATATATGTAATATATAGTAAGGATAAGTATTGCGATCGTGAAAATTTTTTAATCTGAGTTTTCAACGGAAATACACGTTTTGAGGTACCCTGAATCGAAATGACCAAGTCCCGAAAAATGATCTGTGTGTCTGCGTGTGTATGTTAGCAGTCTAGCTCAAAAACAAAAAGTCGTAATTTTATCTTTGTGAAACCCCAACATTATCCACTTACAAGTAGTGCGACAACTTTTGACCTATCCATAGCAAGGCAATAAAAATCTCGAATTTTTGTTTTAGTAGACTTTACAATGGAAAATAACAGGTTAATAAATAATAGTCCTACGATCCATAATCATTTATAAGTTAAATATTCAGATATACTTTCAAATCTCTGTAGGCATATTTGAGCCTTTAGGTTGACAGAATGACTAACTCCAATTTAAACATTCTTTATTATTAATTTCAGTGATGTTTGTAGTGGAAAAATGTTAGTTGTTTGTTCCGCGGACCAGATTTTTTTATTATACATTACAAATTTTAATTTGTGACTTTTTTTTCGAAACTTAACTGTGTTTGGACCCGTCCAATAGTCCTCATTAAATAGTTCTAAGAATGACAAACTCAACTTTCTTATAAGTAAATTTTATCTAGTTTACAGTGAAGTAATTTTTAATTATCTAAATTAAGTATTTCTCTAGTTATTGCTTCATATTTAATAAAAAAACACGAGTTACCTAAAAATAAACAAAACTTAGATGTACTACTTTTCTAATGGAAATAGGGTAATTGCTTATATTTAAATATTTACCTCTACGTACGGAAGACGCTGTATACAGGTTTATTAGGTTTAAGTTCTATTTTTTTTTTCAAACTAGAAATAGATTTATCTTAAGATGCTTAAAGTTCAATGCCAAGATACCCTCCACGTTAAATAGGCTCGCTATTTCGGCCGAGGTTGGATACCAGCCAAATACCAATGTCTATCTCCAGACCCTGGGACTAAAAAATATAAGTCCTATAAAAATGGTCCTTATTCGGGGAGACTAACCTTATAACCTCGTTTGCCGAGATACTGATGCCTTCAATGTAAGAGGCGTTTAAGGAACCCTTTTATCAAGAGAGGGCTGCAGATTGCTAGGAAATGTGATTTCCCTGAGTGGAAGAGGAATAACTGAGCGAAATGAGAGCGTTCTACTCATGAGAGGCGGTAATTGTGTTCCCTGATGGAGTCGCGAATCAATTTCCTCAGGCTCTGTAACAGGTTCACTTTCTCCTCTAGGACATTCAGGAGGAAGAACCGGTTGTCGGAGGAAGTTGTCTTTATATGTTTCTGTTTGATTAATCCACTATACACTATATACTATACAAGGAGGAAATGTCCATATTGATCCATCGTGTATGTTAAAGATGGTCTAACAAACCGTGTTATGCCAATACTTCATCTCCAGAGCGAAATCACTTATGTTTATATTTAAAAAATAATGAACCAGTTTCAGGGATTCATCTATATAAATAAAATAAAGATTTTGTCTGTAAATTGAATAGAATCAACTCATTTTATGATATCTTTCCGTTTCATACTTTGCAGACACTAAACCCACTTTTAAAACAATTTTTGTCTGTCTGTATGTCCGCATTGCAACGACATTTTTTCAGGAGTAACCTCAGCAATGCCTAAATATAGACTTTTACTATGTCTAAATGTAGACATGTTAACATTATATTAATATTCAAAATTTGGGAAATCCGACTAAATCAAGAAAAATCACAGCACATCACATTTACGCTTCAACATGAAACATGCCCTCCAGTTTTCCTTGACAATACACAGATTCCACAGACAGACACCGTTCACTACCTTGGTCTGACATTTGACAGAAAAATGACGTGGGGCCCACATATAATCAAGAAACGAAAAACGCTAAATCAAAGATTAAGAATTCTGAACTCACTTCTTTCGAAAAATTCAAAATTTAAACTTAGACAAAAATTGAACACATACAATTACTTACTTAAACCTATTTGGACTTACGCATCACAAATATTTGGAACTGCTAAAAAGACTCACTTAAACAAACTTCAAACCTTTCAAGCAAAAACATTCAGGACAATCACAAAAGCACCTTTGTACGTTAGCAACATAACCTTACATACTGACCTCCATATGCCGACTGTTAACGAACTCATTACAAACGATTCCATGACAACTTACAAGGACATCCTAAGACACTTATAAATGTCATGGCCACTACGAATATGCCAGGTAACGTCTGAAGGAGACTGAAGAGGAGCTGGATGAGGGACCTCCTCGCCTAACGTAGATATCACGCCGAGTGAGGTGCCGCTGGGCACTGATTTTCGTAATGCCTTTCATGACATTATTTTTTTTCGAATTCACCTCACCTTCACTGTTTGTCACTACCATTATGACAGGTGTGAATAAAAAAGAAATAAACCAAAAAAAAAAAATATTAATGTTTGCTTGACTTAAAATATAGGCTTTAAATGAAAACAAAATATTGAGTTGAACCAAAGTTATGAATTCTTGAGTAATTTTTAGAGATCCCGGTTAGGCAGTTACTTCGATTCTCATCCTAACCTACTCTACCGCGAGCCACATTTAAAAGTTGTACAACTGAACTGATGGGAAAAATTATCACAATTCAACGGGAAAAATATTCCTAAACTTCCTAACAAGGCTAACAAATGTTGTCGTATACATTTTTAGGATTAAACAAACGGATTAGCCAGAAATTAGGAAAAAAACTTCAAAAATTTCATCCCGCCAAGTTCTAATCTTAAACGGATGAAGGTGACTCAATGTCCAATGTTATTTTGGTTATTTTGCTAGCGATAAATTCAGCACAGTTTAAAGAAGTGGAGATATTACAACTCTTTTTGTTTAATTAATCGACTCCGCAATCTCCTCGCTTCATCATAAGTGAAAATTAAACACTTAACAAATTTTAATGGATCGGTGGTGGTCGGTTTAGTTGTGTGGCACCTAAACAAATAGCAAATAAATAACAAAGTTTTTGTTATGACTATTGCGGAACATTGACTTCCACAAGCCCCGCCATAAAAAAAATCAAAACAACCCTCATAGTATAAAATCCATCTCAAAAAAAGATCCTCAAATTTTGACTATACGCCCGTCAACGATGGGTACATCAGCTAGTATTCAATAAAAAAACACACTATCATTGATCTATCATATTTTTACCATTTTATGCTAAGTGACTAAGATTTTCACTCGATCCATGAACATATTTCTACCATTTACTTACTAATGTAATGTTAAAAAAAAGCAAAAAACGAAAATTTGTTAGGGTAATCCCAATAGAAATGGACATAGCTAAGGAAAGTTTTGTCAAGTATTTTGGCTAAGCCTATAATATAACTATTACAGTTATAGTGCGAGTAAAGTGAGTTAAAATATTTATTTTAAGGAAATACTATTTTATATTTGTATTTAGTCCTTAATTAAAATACCAATGTTAACTAGGATCGAAAAATAAATATTTTTTGCTTCAAATTTTCATCAAGTCCAGGATCATCTATTTTACTTTGGAAAACACAAATAGTGTGATAACTTAATCATGGTTCTACATATAAACGAAAAATAAGCTGGGATTCAGGGCCACGTAAACTATACAAAATGCAACAAACCGTAGACCTGTAAGCATATTGAACCTGGAGATAAAAAATAAAAACGTATTAGGAGATTTTCTTTATTTGTTCCTTATGAAGATTTTAAATCTAAATGTATTTAATAGAGCTTTAAAGACCAACCATTTAGCTTTGTAATGGTTATTGAATCATTGAATTAGGAGAAAATCCATAGGAGTTATGGATTATTTAGCGAACGGTAGGGAGAAATATTACAACAGACAGTGAATCGGTATGTCCTTATCTTTTCTTCTATATTTATAAAATTAAATGTCTGTCTGCATGTTTGTCTTTTATGCATAACTAAACATCGCCATAAATTTTTGGGAACCTGTTGCGAACCCGCGAAGATTTCTGGCATAGAGCATCCGTCCTACGAGAATTATATATGTATAAAAAAAATTTCTCTGTAGACTGTCGCGCAAAAAGGTTGTAACGATTTTAATGAAACTTAGCTAAAGTCTACTTTATAGGCTTATTATAATCATTACAGTTATAAACTTCTTCGTTGGATATTAAGAATCTCTAGGGTCCCCTTTTTCTATTTAACACTTTAAAATTTTAAAAAATATTCAGGTATGTAAGTATAATCTCAATTAAAAAAAAAAAACATCTTTATGCATTATTGATGAACATCTCAAAATTCAATTGTTCTAG